TCCTGCCTTCCAGCTCCATGTTCACTACCCCTCCTCTGCAAATATCTAAACCATCTCAGCCTCACCTCTCTAACTTTGTCAAACTCCTTAACCTGATCTGTCCCTCTGATATACTTAGTTCTAATCTTGTCCATCCTGCTCACTCCCAAAGAAAACCTTAGCACCACTGACCTTTGTTAGTGTACCGTCTACAGACCATACATCACAGCAGGTCTCACTACCATCTTGCAGACCTTCCCTTTCACTCTGGCTCACTTTGTCACAAATCACCCGTGACACTCATCTCCATCCACATCACCCTGACTGCACCCTCTTCTTCACCTCTACTCATATAAAGTTAATCAATAAAAGATTATAAAGAATACAGACACGAGGTGCACGGTGCTCACTCAACGACCTATGCTGTAACACCGCCGTGCTTGCAGTACAGCCTCCAGCCACCGGGGGAATCTCTGAGCATGTCTCTGTTAAAATTGATAGATTTGAGCCGTTTTTGTAACGATACGGGGATGTCAGTAACTTTAGCCCTCTTGAGCAGTTTCCGCTTGAATTCGCCGTCCCCCTGCTGATTTATGATTTTAACAGTAAACAGAAATATGGCGCTATTTACATTAGAGTCCTGTGTTACACCTGCCAAGCAATCCACGACATGCAGAATGACAGAGTGCCTTGGGGCTTTTCCAGGCCAGTCAGCCTTTTTTTAAGAAACCAAGAAAAGGCGAACAAAGGCAGCTATAGTAACAGCTAAAGGTCCATATATGTAAGTAACTACATTTGTAAAGAGCTTATGTTACTGTGAACCTTAGCTCTTGCTACCTAGCTGGCTAATGTTATTCATAATCAATAGAAAAACGGGGTGAAGTCAACATATTACCTGCCATCTGCGACATGAACGCCTCTGCCGCAAGAGACATGGTGCTGCTGTTGTACTCTTATTGTTAAATAATGATTAGAATAATGAGCGATCTGAGCAACAGCACTGCTTGCAAGTTTAAGGGCAAGTACTTGTTCTGCAGTCACTGACCGGTCCGCCTGCGATTGATGTCCGTAAGAGAAACGGTTGCATTAATCTTTAGTTCCACTTTATGGACGCGCATAGAGGCTACTGTAGCAGTGTTGTTGTATTTAACTAGAAATAATTGGGGCTTTTGATGCATGGAAAAATGCATATTATTAAAGTAGCATTTTTAATTTGGGTTTAAGGGAAAGAACTAACCGCACAAAAAGTGTATAGGAAACTGACTAAAACAGACACATCATGTGAGAGAGACATGGACTCAGAGAAGCATTATTTGAAATCTGTGTGATAATTTTGTTACAGCAAACATAGGATTAAAAGGATAATGTCCAGGGCGGAAAACATACATTTGGAGGGTAAAGTCAGCAAAACCTAAATATGAATGGATTTTATCATATTTGACTGGTGGTGTGGGGTGGCTGTGGCTCAGGAGATAGAGGGCAGTGGTTCAATCCCACACTTCTCTAGTTTGCATGTTTAAGTATCCTTGGGTAAGACACCAAACTCAGGTTTGGTGTGAATTTTAGGTTAATAGCGTTTGTAATATTCGTGCATTCATCCACACTCCATGGCTGCTATTACCTAGCAGCAAGTACAATATCCTTCTTTAACAAGCGTAAATTTTTAGCAGAACTGCATTTATGTGTGTTTATACCTTTATATCTGCAAAGTTAATATACTTGTTATTTTGCCCACTATTTTATTGTTGCTGTCTTATTATATTTGCTATTTTGTTGTATTGTTATTATTTAATTCAGAGGAGTTTCTTTAAGAGTTGCCTCCTTCCCACCAAGTTTATGAACGCAGAAATTAACATCTTCTCACATATATACTCACTTCAATTGAAATGCAGTATACAAGGCACAAACAGGGGTTGTGCAATTCTAATGAGCTTGAAAATCCATATTTGATATGACCACCTTTATTCTTCAACACAGTGTGAACTCTCTTAGACTCTATTAGTTTTAGACTTTCTTGTAATTTCTTTATTCAGGAATATTTCTCCAGCCTTCTTGAATGACACTCAAAATTCCATTTTGCATGTTGGCTCCTTTTTCTGTCAAGATGATCTCACATTGCTCTAATAATGTCGAGGTCTGGGCTCTGGGGAGGCCAGTCCATGACTGATAGTGTTTCATTATGTGTTTTTTTCTAGCTAGACATGTGTTTACTGCATTGACAGTTTGTTTGGGATCATTGTCAAAAAATTAAGCTGCTGGCAATCAATTGCTTTCCAGAAGGTTTTGGGTGGTGGATCAAAAATGTACTGTACTTTTCTGCAGTTATAATTCCATCTATCAAGATCCCCCAACATTACTGGTTGAAATGCAGCCCCCAAAAATGACACAGATAGCGGAAGCATCTCACTGTTGTACCTGTCTCTTTATGATCTCTGTTTATACTGGGGGTGAACCTAAATTTTCACATTTGGATTCATCACTCCATAAGACATAAGATAAGAAAGTCAGTGATTACTGATTTTCAGTCCAGTTCTTCAATAGTTTGACATACATCAGCCTTTTCTTCCCAGTTTCCTTCCATTGAGATCATTTCTGCAAACAGATAAATCAACTGAAAGGTCAGATGCATCTTTTGCATCCTGTGTCAGTTGATTTTCAGATACTTTTCAATTACACACTGCTCAGCATGCTGAGACATCCCATGTTTTTGTCTAATATGTGTTTGGGAATTGCATTGTTGTTGCAAAAAGACTAAATGCCTAAAAATGCTATTTTAAAATGAGTTCTTTGATACACACCTTTCGTCCCTTGTGAGATGACTTTTTACTCTTAAATGAATAATATGTCGGTGTTAAGTGATGTAGAAACAACAAAAAGAAAAAAACATTTCTCTAAAAATAGTCAGGTACAAGGAAAACGACTGAAAAGGCAGATGATGTCCAAATAAAAGATAAAAACTTTATCTTTAAAAACTTACAAGAAAGTCACAGCGACTGTACTTTATCTATTTAAACATTTCTCTTTTAAATTTTGTTTATTAATCCAGACTATTTGCAGAAAAATGCTGCTGCATTCGACCATATCTAAACAAGTCAGTGGCACACCCATGTTTCTGTGTTTTTCTGTAGCTATGTTATTGTCCACACCCTAACAAGAAATGCTTCACTGTTTCATTCTCGTGACATTTCTCACCCTGTCCTGTTTTAAGCTCTACAATCGAACACGTGACTGTATTTAAAGTGACCTGCCATGCTCTTAATCTTGTGAGAAGTATCCAACATTCATTCCCGTCTTAAAAGTCTTACTTGTAGGTAGATGTAGTCGTACATTTTTACGGTTGTGTGTTCACAGTGCAAACACAAGTGGACAAAGTAACTGAGACACATTATGATGCATGGATAGATGTAACAACCCAAAATTGTAACCTTTGCAAAGATGTGTATGTTTCTGGTTCATATACCTTATTATTACTAAGGCTAATTTAGCATTGATTACGGTACATTGTATTATACACATTTCTGTTAATCCAAAGGGCTAATGATAAATATATCCATGTATTTCTAATGTAAATATTTCCATGTTTTCTTAAATGAAAAAATATTATTTATCTTAACCTGAAAAAAAAAATCTCTTCCAGACTGTAATACTTAATGCTACCAGTCGGGGGCATTCCTGTTTCATCACAGACTAGAGAAAGATAGGTAGGTGTACGCGCACAAACACAAACACATGCATATCTACAAAGTATGCTGTTCAGTATTATTGCATTCTGTTTGCATTCTGTTTCTGTCCATTTAAATGTACATAAAATACATGAATGTGTGTGAACTTGTGGTGTGAAATTTTAGGAATAATTGCATCTCGTTTGTAATCACGCGTGTGTCTTAGTGGGATCAGGTTTTGAATTCCAGATGTTTGACGTGTTTTTGTGGTATTATTCCCCTGAGTAACATCTCAAACTGCAGACATGCAGAACTTCAGAAGCTTTTCTGTTTTTAGTGAAGATCTGAACTTTGTTAGTCATGATTGTGGCAGCTCTGTGGTTGATCTTCAGCGTGTGATAGATAATCCAGGTTGCTCCGTGTCAGCCCCTTTGTGCCTATCCTGCACATGTAACCGAGTCTCCAACGGAAGCCACCAATTATTGGCACTCAGCGCTCATTTCTCTTACATATCAACACACAAATACACACAGCCATGATTTCACTACTTCAAGGGATTTTACTTTGATTTACGTTCCTTTCCCGTAAACTTACTATACACATAGGCCTAACCGCTAATCTTGATCCTGGCACAAACGATTTCACTTAAGTTGATATTCATACAAAAATATGAATATCAACTTAAGTGATATTAAGTTGATATTAAGTTTATATATGAAATTCGCGATTTGGACAAACAAATCTATGAGAAGCCCGAATTATTGTATCTGGGATTTATAAACTTCTAAACAAAGATATCATCATAGACAATACTTAAGTCTCTTAACATAATAATTTACATCCCAAAAAATTTTAAACAGTAAAAGACACAGAATACCCACAAATTTAAATATTTTAACGCCAAATTTTCTCCTTAGTTTCGGCTCCGTTTAATAACTCCTCGAAAATCAGAAAACTGTAAAGATCAACCTAAATCCACCCGTGGGACAGCGTGCATGCATTTTAAAAGCTTGTCAACGGAGCCATGACGCACTAGACATTAGTCTTGGCTTATCTATACCATGAGTCCCCGTTAAGTTGTGACTGCGACAAAGACCGTGCTGCTTAAAGATGACACCGTATTTTATTTATTTATTTTATATATTTATTTATTTTATTTTCTTAAGCCGAAAATGGATATCACGATTTCGCCTTTAACTCACTGTTTCTAATCACACGTCACTTCCGTTGATTCTCTCCCGACCTCATCTTCCCCTATCGCCAAAAAAAAAAAAAATCATCGGTCCTTCGCTTATCTTCCAACACAGAAAAATATTCACACCTTTAATGTTTGAAGTTTTTTATTATTATTATTTTCTCATCTATTTTTATCAAAACATTTCCACATATAAAATTATTACAGGAATACACTTTTTTTTCAAAAGTAACGAAAAAATAACGGAGAAGATGCTTGCTATAAAGAACGAATAAAATATGCTTCTAATTATTACAAATTAAACATAAGTACTGGCGTAGACTATGATAGATATCGATAGCATATTAAACTGGAATCAAAGAGAGAACATACCTATTTATATGCAACATCATGGTATTTCACAGAGGGCTAATTTAATCCTCTCGGTGCGAAATCAAACAAGTTTTTTCAGAAAAAAAAGATCTCTTTGTAAAACCCTGTAACCCTGAGAAAAGAAGTTGGATTTACAGTCAGGTGTGTGCGTTAAAAAATTGTACCTTCATTTTGGCTCTTTTTTAAAAACAAAATTATAAATGTGGGAAATAAAATCCAAGAAAAAATATGGCTAATTTCCTTCCAAATATGAATTATTTTTGGATGCTTCTCTGTACAAAATCAAAAGCTAAAACATAATTTGTGCAGTCACTCAACACGCAATTTGGTGTTTCTGCTCTTCTACCTACCCTTTAAGCGCCAGTTTATGTAACATTTTGGTAACGTGCATATTCATAAATTAGGATTTTTCTGCTTTTAGGTAGCTGTTATATAACCCTGTATTATGTTTACCCTGTGGAGAAAAGAAAACCCTGATTCATCCTGTTCCACGCAGTCACGAGTATTTTGGCACCGCGACAAACGAGCACTGTTTTTGCGTCTTCATCGGATGTCTAAATATGAAGCAATTCCCTGTCTGCACCAGAGAGATGTCAGGGCCTCCGTGAACTTAAAATATATTCATTCATTCATTAATTATGAGATTCAATATGGATGAAACCTCAAAAAAGGAAAAAAATTAAAATGCTCCAAAGGTGAAGTTAAAAACAAGGGAAAAAATACATAATGGAATTTATAAACGTGTGTTCGTCAAAGCCGTAACTTTAAAGCAGGTGAGAATTGTTTGAGGACTGCAGTCACCCTGGATAAATTAAGCAACATCAGCTTTGGAGAATGAAGGTGCTACCATGGCTGCTTCGACTGCCACACTCTGCGCTCCTGTGTGTTTAGACAGTTATAACCGTCTTCATGCTGTCGCTGCTGCTGCTGTTGCTGTTGTTGTTGTTGTTGTCGGTCGCTTTCTTGTTTTTGCTCTTTCCTTTGGTGTTGGGCAATTTGTTGTCTTTCTTCCAGCGCATGCGCCGGTTCTGGAACCACACCTTCCCCTGCCGTTCGGACAGACAGAGCGCGTGGGCCACCTCGACGCGGCGGCGGCGCGTGAGATAGCGGCTGAAGTGAAACTCCTTCTCGAGCTCCAGGACCTGCTGTCGCGTGTAGGCCGTCCGCAACCTCTTTGGCTCCGGGCCCACGTGATTTGGATTAACTGTAAAAACAAAGAACAGAGGTTTAAAGACCGCTTTAAATTTATTTTATTTATCTTACAGCTTTTATTTTGTTTTGTGTTCCGTAATGATGAGGATGGGCCTGGGTGAAGCCCCATATTAAGAATATATTTAAAATAAAAATGAGTTGATCTTTTAAAATTCTCATTCCAGATATAATCACGTAGCCTTTCCTGTCGTAATCTTCATTCGTGGTGGTCTGGGAAGATGCCCAAGAAACGATTTTGACTTTTATCTTTAAAGGTTTGTTCCGCCGCAAGCGTTACACATCAGATACACACAATAAGCTTGCTTGCCCCCCCCCCCCCCCCCCCCCCCCCCCCCACACACACACACACACACATACACACAAACAAGCTGTAGCAGGGCAGGGTCATAAAACTTTATAGGGGTTGTAATTCTCGCTGACTCTCACTAAGATCGTAAATAACTCGACAACAAAAAGCGATGCTCACAAATGGACAAAACACTATACAAAGAAAGAAAGAAAGAAAGAAAGAAAGAAAGAAAGAAAGAAAGAAAGAAATAAAGAAAGAAAGAAAAATAAAAAACATTAACATGAGAAATACACCAATGTTATGGAGAAATGAAATGGGGAGTGAAGATCGACTGATTAAAACGTTCAGGCTACCCTACCATGAGCGATGTGCACTTTCTTCATCCACGGGTAGACAACAATGGGCGGCTTGTCTTTGCCCTGGCAGGCCGTTTTCCTCTGCACCTGAGCGGGCTTTGCGCAGGTCATCCAGGCCTGGCACTGCAGGTCACCCACGGGAAACCTCTCCTTCACGGGCCCGTCCGTCTCTCTGTAGACCGGGTAGGTTGCATCTTGATGCTGCGAGGGGTCCTCTCCATCTTGCCGGCGATGCCCCTGCAAAGAGTGTTGATAACCGGTTTGTTGTTGTGTATAGGGAGGCGGAGGGGGCTGCATGGACATATAGCCCCCTCCAAAACTGCCACTGTCCTCGGGGTTGTTGTAATACCCCCCTTGTTCATTAAAATTACTGTAATCTTCTTCACATGGCGGGAACTGCGGCTCAGCATATTTACAGCTCACCACGTAGGACTCCATGATTGATTTATAGTGAGGCTGGTAGGAGAATACTAATTTTTCTTTCTCTCCCCTCTCTCTGTCTCTTTTCCCCCCTCTGGCATGAAGCCATCCTGCGGCTGTCAAATAGACGGACGGCCGCTCGGGCCACGTGACCCTGCGGCCAGCCAATGAGAGGCGACACTTTTGGTTGTTTATGTCAGACGTAATGGGATAATTTGGAGGAAAAAAATGTTCATTATAGAACTAATGAAGATTTGCTGGCCGGGTAAGTTGCTACGGTTAGGTGTTTGTGGACACTGAAAAATAATCCTGACAGTTTAAAGTGTTAATATGAGTAATTCAAATCTATCTATCTATCTATCTATCTATCTATCTATCTATCTATCTATCTATCTATCTATCTATCTATCTATCTATCTATCTATCTATCTATCTATCACCCTCTGCCACACAGCCCCTATTGAAGACGCGCTGACTGTAGATTTATGACTTTTAGCTGACTGACTTTTACCCCCACAGATGGCCGAAACTGAAAAATTAATCTGGCCCATATTGAGGGACGGCGGGGCCATATTTGGCCTTGTGGCCAGTCAAAGGACGGACAACAAAACGTGGCCGGTCAGAAAGGCCTCAAATAAAAGAATGGGATAAAAGGTTCCCAGACAGTGACTAGTAGTTGGCTTTGTTCGGCCGAGGTCAGGCCGAGGTGTCCCGCTCACCAGCACGGCTTTTAAAGGAGGGGGAGAAAAATGCATTGCTTTAAAAAAAATGATGCTAAATCAAGCCGAACGAGACAAAAATGCGACGGCTTAAAAAATGAAGCTTAATGCAAAATTAGTGGAAAAAAGGGTGAAAGAGATAAGTGGGAATATGCTAAATGTGTGCCCTCACACGAAGAAAGAGAGACATAATGAGCGTCATTGCGCAAGGAATTTTGCTCTTTTGCTAAAGTGATCCCTTTAAAAATGGTAAATCGCAAATGTCAAGGTCTTGATAGATCATCTTTACACCCAGCAATCGACCATTAATCCGTATGAAATCCTTCAAGATTTCACGAGGATTTCTTTGGCTGCAGCTGCTCTCCGAGGATTTGGCAAGACTGATGCGCAGCTAAAACCCCAGTTTTACTACATGAACTACTTTTACCCCTTCCTATAACACTCCTGTAAAAAGCATTAAAGAGTTCCTATGGAGGATGTAATGCGTTTGAAGTCTTTGCCATGGCTGACAAAATACAACTGGACTCATGCATCTTTGGGCTTAATGGCTCTGATCTAATGAGTCATTTAGACAAAGCAGCCCTTAAAGAGTGACTGATAAGCAACCAAATAGGTAATAGAGTGTCAGAATATTTTTTTTCTGTGTCATGGTCTAGTGCCATTTAAATAGGCAGCTCTTCCATTGTTGTTACAATGGATATTTTTCAGCCGAAGCGTTTGTAGCTTCAGTTTCTATCAGACAGTTTTTGTTCCAGCTGAGATAAAGGGAAGGTGTGAACAGATTTTCACTGAAGAGTTACAGATTTACTACATTTGTGAATGGTCTGCAGAGGTGGTGTACTCAGGGCAGCAAACAGAGTTGCATTTTTTTCATAAGCCAGGGCTTTATCAGCTCTACACCCCAGAACAAGATACTGTGCTGTGGTTCTTGTTGAGATGCTGCACTTAATATTGATTTTATGATTTGTCACTGAGCAAACCTTTACGCTACCATGCAGGAAATTAGATCCAGCGGCATGATCACAATTCATGCCGTGAAACTCAGTATGAGCAAACCATCCTGCCCGATTTGCCAATCCATTTGTATGCAGCAAAGCACAGCATCACTTCACGGACACTTTTCTGTGCTTGACACCGCACAAATGTCAAACAATCCTTCTAATCTATGAAAGTGTGGAACTGTAGGGCTGAAGAAGGACACGTTCCTTTAGCAAAGCTAGAGCACAGTAAAGAGTCATCCCTTTTTCCTCCCCTGTCGTGGATTTTGATGGATGGTTAGTCATCGCCCATAGACTCCCCAAGAACCCAATCTGTGACTGAGGCAGCTCCACACACATTCGGTTCTACAGGGTATATATAGGCGAAGGTTCACTTCATGGCTGGCTGCTGATGACTTCTTTTTGTTGTTGACAGAGATTTACACTCCTGTGCCCTCATTCTGACTTTTTTCATAGAGGCCATTGTGTTGACTAATGCTCTGCGTAAGAGTAATTACAATGCCCAAAATCACTATTCAGCCAGTCCCTTCTTTGTAAAGATGTGCGTGTACCTGTTGTTAAGTGTCATTGTATAATTTATTGAAACCATTAATGGTGCTTCAGCATGTACCTTCTGACATCAATAATTCGTTATAAGGCATAACACATTAATTCTGATACATGTGTGCAATTACTGTAAACTGGTGAGGCCATCATCCAGAAGACTAGCAAGCTCAACAAGAACATCCTGAGACTTCAGACTTCTCCTCGGGTTAAATAATCATAATGCTCTCCACATAGGCATGAATTGATTCCCTGGATCCAGAAGGTTATCTGGAACTGGATTAGTTTATGATATTTTCTTGAAAACTGCAAGGCAGTGTCTTCTAATTATTCGTATATCATGTTAATGTGTACATTTTAAAGATATGCTGCAAAATGTTTCATTTTGTCCTACCTAATATTGGTAAATGTCCTTGAAGTTAATTACTTCTAAATTGGCTCTACAGTTTAACATAAAACCATAAATTCTAGGCAGGTCAGCAATAATTCGCACAAGGTGAATTTCAGGTTTATGAAATTGGTCTTGCTGCATGAAAAATAGCTCACCTTCCACTGGAAAGAGGGCAAACAGTTGCCCATAAGATAACTGCAGCAGAGTATAGTTAATGTGAAACTGAGATGGTCACCTTGTCCTAGCCACATTCTCATTTGTTAATTATTATACAAAGTGTCGGAGTTACTCTGATATCAATTTTATCGTTTGAACACAATTCATTGAAGTTCTGCAAGTGTGACTGTGAGTCTGACCCCGCTTTCTCTTCCATGTCTTTACTGAGGCATACTATTTTGGCTTTCTGAGGTAAAAGCTAGCTTATCAGAAAGACTTTGTTACAGTAGAGAAGTTTGTTACTGATGACCTCACTTTGTTAAACAAGTATGCCACATTTCTTTACGTTAAACATTAGAAATCAAGGAGGAGGCGATCTGTGCTGTTGCCCACCAGCAGTTAAAAGTTGCATGTCTTTCATAATTTAGCCGGCCAAGCTTTGATTGTAGTGTAACTGCCAAATTGCAGTTGGTCTCCTGCCAAGTTTGCTGGTAAACAAACTACCAGCTGCAGTGAAACGAATCCACATTAAAATAGTGGCTGGGGGTAATTTCCAAACTTGGCCTCGACCTCAGATTTATTGGACTGAACTGAAAATTGCAGAGAACTTGGCCCTGAAACTGAATCTAAATTTCTCATTAGTTCCTGCTGAAATACATTTATGGTGGTCCACAGCGCCTCTAAATGTTTACAGCTGAACATCTGCCGTCAGCTGCCAGTGAAGGCACCAGTTTATACCCAACTGTATTTGAATTCAAGTTGTGCACTTGCAATTGACAGCATTAGTCATCATGTTGACTCTTTTTGCTTGTATATTAAATTTTGGGTAAGATGTATGTGTTACATATGTATTGATTTGTCTCACGTGTCAATGCTCATGCTCCACTGAGGGCAACATTCCCACACACTTCACCTCTTTATACAGTAATGTATCATTATGAATATTGCTGACGTCTGCATTGTTTTTCGAGTTGTATTGCAAATTTGGTCAAGATGCCACATAGAGTTTCTGTTTCCATTTCTTCCCCTAGGCGATTTTCTGTGCTCTGGCAGACGCTCATTCCTTGTGTTTACATGTTCTAAATTCCCATGGCTGGTTGAATGAGTGCTTGATGACAACTCCGGTCAGAACCATTTGTTGCGAAAGCAAAAAGCTCGCGTTGCATGGAGTGAGAAGAACAGCAAAACTTTATGTAGAGCATGATTGGTTTCACGTTAAACAGTGGGAAAGCTAAACAAAAATAAAAGAGCGAAGCAAACACTGATCCATAACAATTCTGATTGATTTTGGGTGAAAAATGAAACTGCAGAGTTTAGGGCACCTTTCTGCTGATGTGGAAAATACAAATGGTCAAAAAAAGAGAGTTCATTCACGTTGAACTATTAATCCTGAGTTTTTTGTTTTGTTTTTTGACTTTCATTTTTCACAATTATTCTTGCCCTCGGACACTGGCGTCATTAGCTTACACCTTTGAATGGTGTTCCCTAGCTCTGAACTTTGGTGGATTTCTTTTACAGACAACAACAACGGAGCGATGCTTCGGTTTCTCAAAGAGCATTCTTCTTTAAGAATGTAGCCTAGCTGCCGTCAGGTCGCCAGAGGGTCAATCAGAATCGTTGACCGCTGGTTCACCGTTTCATTAGTCCCCGCGCTGGACAGGCCAACGCAGGGGCTCGAGGTGGGGACCACGCAGAGTTCACGCGGCCTGCGGGAGTCGCGAGCCTATTGTTCCGTGGGTTTCTCCCTCCCTCCCTCCCTCTCTCTCTCTCGCTCGCTCGTTGGATAGTCTCCTCCGATATTAGGGGTTAAAGTGGGAGGATGCGTGCGTGACCGTTATTTGAATATGATCCACTGATCTAAAAGGGATTCTCTACCACATGTATGACTTATTGCTACTTTGGCAGCGGTTTAATCAACCTTCTCGTATCGTTTTTCCATTGTAGGTTGATTATTGATTAACGCTGTAAATCTGGTAGTATAATTAGACGTCTTTAATGTCCCTCTTCACTCCGGTTGTAGATTTAATTCAGTCCAAGATGATCGTCTTGGATACTCTCGCTGCAGACTTGGTGTTCATGTGATACTCCGACTACGTAATTTTTCACCAGGCTGTCTTTGCAGATCTGAATCCAACACTCGGGTCTGCAGATGATATAACCACAAGCAGCAGTAACATAAGCACTTATCCGTATAAACAGCCTATTGCCTTT